TATCAACTGATGAAGTAGTGTTTTCCTAGCCATTACAAGCTAAGTACACTTTTTGTGGCTATTGCTCATATTTTTGTAATGTGACTGCAACAAGTCGAGTAAGAACGACAGTATGACTTCAGTTTTGGTAAATATAAGCAGCTACCCGAAGCTAGCATAAAAGGTCAACATGCTTTTTGATTATTAAGAAGGGTAACTTTTCAAATTTCAAGCGATGTGCATGTTTTCATATCTGCCCACGAGGCAAGGCTCTGCAGCCAGGGAGTCTTCTTGCCCTGGGCTAATACGTGGCTTCCACGGCAAGAGACTTTTCGACATTCAGCGGGATGTCAGCGCGTGCGCGGCTGACCAAGTTTCTTTTTCTTCTTCTTGAATTTCTTCATCTTTTTCCGCATGCTAAACTAGCAAGCTAGCTGGGGTTCGGTAGTTTTTTAGTTGCCATGACTACCACTACTTCTTATTTTTCTTCTTCTTCTTCCATTCTTCTACTTTTTTGGCAGTTAGCAAGTACTTTTGGTACATTACTGTCACCTTATTTAGTATGTGACATCCGCCACAACAATGATTTCTGACAAAGTATTTACCACACCAAAAGTTCCAATAACCGATCAGGATTCTAACTTTGGATACAATATGATGCAGGATTCTTGTTCGGGTAAGCGATTTTAAACTACAAAGAAAAACTCCTCCGTAGTTAGAAGCCAACGTTTCGAATTCAAGCAGAAGTTTCGAATATTTGGATGCCCCAATGCCTGCGATTGGCTGGCAACCGATTCAGGGTGTCCCCCGCCTACTGCCCGAAGACAGCTGGGATAGGCTCCAGCACCCCCCGCGACCCTAGTGAGGATCAAGCGGTTCGGAAGATGAATGGATGCCCCAATGCACCTCTTTGATGAACCAATCAATTATTGTCAAAATTCTTTTTTTTTTTTCATGTGAAATGCCTTCTTTTCCCAATAAAGTACACATCACAGGGCACTGTGACTTAGCACCTACTTTTACAGAGTCCATCCATCTGTCTGTCCATCCACCCATACATCCACCCATCCATTATCCAAACCACTTCATTTGTTGTAAATCAAAACAGTGCTGCTGTGACGTGACATACACTGTAGTTCAACTCTCTTCTCACGCATTCTACAGAGAAAAAAACATCAACAGATTGACTTGTGTTGGAGGATTTCCCGGGTAGTGTGATTAGTCTGAATTATTTTTACAAAAAGAACATTAACAATCAAAGGACACATTTGTCTTCATCTTGTAATAGCACCTTGTATCACACTGATCTTGTGACATTCTTCATCTCTGCACCAAAGGCTAAATCAGTGAACCAGTGTCTTTTAGTCCCTGACTGTGGTTAAACATTTCACTTAGAAACACCATTCTTTTTAGTGTTTTTAACTGATTACATTGGTCATTATGTAAAATGTTTGCTGAACTGTCAATAGATTGATAGCTCACCAGCGCAACACGGTTGTAGAAATTTCACTCAAGTGGTAGAGGAGCATTTAGTGCTAGTTTTGTTCCCAGTTTGGTCTGTCCTGTTGACATGCCTTAAAAGGATCTCTGGTACCTAGAATGGATGACTTAGAATGACAACTCACAGAAAATGTTTGTGACTGAGATGGGTCAAGATAATATCTGGGGTTTTTGAAAGATCGGCGGCATGCATGCTTAACAAATTGGCCATCTTTGATAGCAAGGTATGGCAGCAATGAAAAAATAGACATAGGTGGTGCCTGCACATTCTGTGGATTTCATGAGCAAGAGGATTATTTGGTATCCATAACAGATACAGTATATATGTAATACTTTATGCCATCAAATTTTGAACATGTTCAAAATTTCTTTTTTTTTTCTTTCTCCGGGAACTGCAGTTCCCTCCCACATTCCAAAAACATGCATGGTAGGTTAAAGGAGCACTCTAAATTGTCATTAGGTGTTATGTTAGTGTGAACGGTTGGGATAGCCTCCAGCACACCCGCGACACTTATGAGGATAAGCAGCTCGGATGATGCACAGAGGAAGTATTCATGGCATTTTACTCATAAACTGCAAACTAATGCGGGTATTTTCCGTGAACGTGCTCTACACATCATAGGGAATTCCTGCAGCTTAATTAAGCTGTGAGGTAGCCTGAGGCCAAGCGGCATACTTTACCTTGCTGTAATCAAATTGCCATCTGTCAGTGGCAGTGCACCGCTCTCACCAACACTTCCCGTTTGTCACCCACCGTTGCCACACATCACAAGTGGTACATGCTCATACGCACAATTCTGAACTGCATAACACTGTAATGTTGTTATTTTAAAAAACAGAACCCAATCGTTCTTCTTTGGAACTCATTGCCTGGCTGCCTCTTGATTGTAGTAAATGCTGTCAAATGATTACATTTTTCCAAATAGCGATTGTGTTTTTCCGCTTCTACTATTTTCTACAAATCTTGTAACAGAGGCACTCCGGTTTCCTCCCACATTCCAAAAACATGCTTGGCAGGTTAATGGAACACTCTAAATTGTCCCTAGGTGTGAGTGTGAGCACGGATGGTTGTTCGTCTCTGTGTAACCTGTGATTGGCTGGAAACTGGTTCAGGGTGTCCCCCGCCTACTGCCCAACGACAGCTGGCATAGGCTCCAGTACCCCCGCGACCCTAGTGAGGATAAAGCTGTTCCGAAAATGGATGGATGGATGAAAGTGTGGCTGGTGGGTATACAGTGTGTCCCTCCATGCCTCTGTCTTGGTGTTGTTTGTAATTCATTAGTGTCTTGAATTAATTTGTTTTTGGCTTCTCTTGAAATAAAACCATGTTTTACATTTCACACACACCAGCTGCCATGTGCCTCTACTTTCTTAACACTGTCATCTTTGCTCATAACAGGATTTAGCATATCAATGGTAGATCAGATCGTTTCACAAAAGCTTACTACTGCAAAGCTCTTGTCCACTCATCTTTCCAGGATAACTTTGTGGACCTCACAAGTAGATTCTCTGCTCTGGGGTCTTTGGTGTGCGTGTGGTCGCGACCACTCAGTTCAAATTATTTCTGTTTGAAGATGACAAAATACATACCCGGTCACTACTGTCTCTAAAGATGTATCGAATGCCATGTGTTGGTGATGCTGCAAAAGGATGTGCATAATGTGTATGGGAGAATGATGATGAATAGTTTGCTTCCACCGGCATATGGTCTTATTAAATATAGGAAGGAAGCAGCATGTGACCCAAGTATGAATTCAGGTACGGCATGTTGGAATGTGTCCGAAACTTGCCAGTCTATTGTTCTTGCACCCCTGGCTTCCACTTGGTTTAATGATGTATGGAACAAAAGAATTATCCTGTGCCCTCTCACCCTGCAGTTGCTCCTGGTGCGGAATGAGACCTGTTTTCTGTGGAAACTTTTGCACTGGATGCTAAGAGGTGCTGGCTACAGCTGGCAGCTGCACTGACAATTCTGTGTGTGTGTGTGTGTGTGTGTGTGTGTGTGTGTGTGTGTGTGTGTGTGTGTGTGTGTGTGTGTGTGTGTGTGTGTACGGGTTTGAGAGCTGGCATGTCAGCCGAGTGAAAACTTCTCTGTGACACAGCAGTCACCACAGGAAGGATGCCCCCCCACTCCTTGCTCACTGCCGATGGTTTTGAAGGTTTATGGTAAACAGTACTGTTCACCTCAAAGGGTAATGAGGGGAGCCTTCAAGGTATGTGGATGGGAGCAGCAGTGACATGGAATTTGTTTCTTCCTAAAGGCACATGCAATGTACTTGAGCAAGAGACTGTGTGATGATAAGGTTTGGTGATAGTTTGCATTGAGAATGTAAAATGTTCTTCTGATGCATGTTTGTGATACAGTACACTCATTTTTTTCAAGCTCCATCATTATCGATCCATCCGTCCATCCATCCATCCATTTTCTGATCCGCTTATCCTCACAAGGGTCGCTCACATCTTTGTGCAGTAGGCGGGGGACACCCTGAACTGGTAGCCAGCCAATCGCAGGGTACACAGAGACGAACAATGATCTGCGCTCACACTCACACCTCGGGACAATTTACAGTGTTCAATCGGCCTGCCACACGCATGTTTTTGGAATGTGGGAGGAAACCAAAGTACCCAGAGAAAACCTCTCCATTATTAATCTGTCTTTTTTAAATTTATTTATTTGCTTCTTGGCAACTATGAATCTGCAGGTGTCTTAACATGCCGTATTGGCAGAGTCAGTGCCAGCCCTGGTCCTCTCTGGTGGCACTTGCATTGTCACATTCGACCCATTGTGTGCTACCCCCGTTCACACGGAAACAGCTGTTAGATCCGCCGTGGCGCTGCGCTTGGCATGGCATTGAGATGAAGCTCCAAGCACAATCATAGTACCCGGGATTTTTCCTTAATACCATTGATACAGGACAATTCCAAACATGCATGCATCTGGTTTTGATCTGTTACCACATCCTCTCCTCCATCCTTGAAAATATGATTCTTTTATGGTCTTTGAAAATGGAGTGGAAGGAGGTTAGAGGGCAGTACCGCCAATTAATGTGTCCATATGTTCATTTGATTTGTCTCTTGCTGCTTTGACCAAAGTGTTGCTTTAAAATACACGAGCCTCTGTATAGGAAGTGACTCATATTTGACTGATTCTGTACTTACCGAACTGTGATTCTCCACCACTCGCTTCAGGATATTTACCTCCTCCTTCTCCTTCTTGCTGACTGCTTCGCCCTTACTCTTTTATTGCTCCTCAATCACACAACGTTCAACTCATGAGCGGCCCATGACCTGGATAGTGCTTGTCTAGACAAACCAGACCAGACCAGACAAGTCAGAAGTGATCTTTATCACCATGTAATTTTCAAAGCTCTCTGCAATTGTTTTTTTTTTTTTGTTTGTTTTTGATATCAACAGAGCAATGCTGACATGAATCTGCATGATCTCTGCCTTGTACATGACTTTTGTCATTTATTGTTTAAGCCTTTCCAGGTATTTCCAGCTGACCGGTCTTTTCCCTTTAGTTCCCAGAGTGCGGCTTCTTTGGCATGTATGACAAGATCTTGCTATTCCGCCATGACCTAAATGATGAAAACATCCTGCAGAGGCTGACCTCAACTGAAGACATCCACGAGGGAGACCTAATTGAGGTGGTTCTCTCCGGTATGTATGCTGTCTTGAAACTTGAAGATTTCTTTGTGCGTACTCTCGCAAAAACACAAAGAAACTGCTATTTGACATCTTAAGCCTGCTGCACTCGGAGCGAAATGGCCAAACACATGCAGTGTGTGGGGGTTCTCAAGTACAAACCCAATTCCAATGAAGTTGAGACATTGTGTTAAACATAAATACAAACAGAATCCACTGATTTGCAAATCATGTCCAGCACTCACACACAGAGGTGAACGTCGCCCCATCTTTGCGTTTGAATGGCTGAGCGATGTGGGAAGCTCCTTTCATACTCAATCGTGGCACCATCCTGTTCTCAGTTTATGAGCTTGAACATTGAATATCTTGTCTTTGTAGTGTCCTTGATTATATATCGGTTGAAAAGGATATGCAGATCACGTTTGATTTATGCTTAACACAACGTCCCAACTTCATTGTAATTATTTTTGTAGTTTTTATGAGCGGCCGACCGTCTGCAACTCATTTGGCTGAAATCCCAAATTTTAATCGCAGGTCAGCATCATTGTAACTTGTAGAACTGCCGATCAAAATGCCATGTTGTATCACATGAACTTAGAGAGCAAAATTAAAATTTCCGGGAAACAATTGAGATTCAGCTGGCCACCGTCAACACACACGAGCGAATGGCCGCTGTTTGCCGAATTTTTAAAAAAAATTTATTGTATGTACCTAAACCATTTATGGCAGATTTACACAAGTAATACTGGCCTCATTCTTTACTACACAAAAATCAATATTTAATAAAGAGATTGGTAACACAAAATGAACCCCTGGTGTTACAATATCTCTGCTCAAGTAATTCGGTAGGTGTGCAAAGGTCAGTCGCTAAGTGTGCAGAGTCATTTGTCAACTGCAATTTGTTCACAATTTTCCAGTTGTGTCAAGTTCAGACGCATTTCTTGGTGTGTGCCCGGGGCCTTAGTGAACTGATGGTTCACTTGCTTGTCTTTCGTTCAGGTAGCGTGGGTACAGTTCCTACCTAGTGAGTGGCTGGGCGAATACGAGTGCAAATGGTTGGTAGTTTCTCTATTTGCGTCGTCAGTGTCATTTTACCCAAAGTGAGCCTGGGATAGATTCCAGCCCCCACAACCTTCAGCACCTTAGGTGTCATAGCAAATGGATAGCGGTGCCGTGAATCAACTGACACTCATTCCTACGTGGTGAAATTTGCAAATTTTACATGAGATGATTCACCTTGGTGTCAGTTACTCAGGTGTTTTTCGTGCTACACCCAGCAATGAATGGGTGAATCAGCTTCCTGAGCAATGATGAAATCACAAATGATGTAGAATAACCGTTGTCAAATCTGTCCATCCGTCAACATCAGGAAGCACCTGACACCACCTGTGCTGAATCGTCCCCTCCCCTCTCCAGAGCCCAGAGTATTGTTTGCAGGCATTTAGGTGGGGTACAATTGTATAGGTTCAGGATCTGAGGATACTTCAGGCATCAGGGCTGAGGAATGTAGACTGAGAGAACTTCCTTCTTTTCTGTTTCTCACTGTCTGTGTTTGTCTTGTGCTCTCTTTGTGTCACCCTTTGTTATTCTTTGTCCACCCTGCTTTCTCTCTTTTCAACCTTGTAATATCCAGCTGCAGGTGCTTTGACGGTCTGTCACATGCTGTCGAGTCAATGCCACAGCATTGACTTTTACAGAGTACAAGACACACACACAGCAAGTTCATGTTTTCAACCATTTGCTTTGGTTCAAGAGAAACTCTGAATCTTTTCCACCCAACAATTTGTCTCATCCTCATCCTCCGTCAGTTTTGCTAAACCAACCTATAGTTGTATCCTGTGGCTTTGGGAGAGAGAGTAAGAGGATCTTGTTCGCTTCGAGAAAGAGGCAAAAGTGGCTTTTTCTTGGCTCCGAGCTCAAAAGAAGAGGACTTGTTTTTCCAGCAATAAGTGATTGTAGTAGGCCCGTGGTGTGTAAACATGCTCTGATATGCAGGCCGGGCCCTGCTCACAGCGTACACTGCAAAGGCCATGTGGACCCATGAGGTTTGCGGTTCAGCCTGACCGATTGTCCCTTTGTTCTGTTTTTCGCTCCCATCTTGTACCACCCACTTTCATAAGTTCCTCATTTATCACCCTGGGCAATGTGAAATTTGTCTTTTACAGTACTTGTGGCAAATGAATACGGCATTTGTTATGAGCACTGTATGTTTTGCTTTGATTTAAACTTGTGGCTTCTGAATGGAAAATGTGGCGCCTTAAAGCAAACAGATGCAGGCTGTGCTTGAGAGAAGTGATTCCAAAACAACTTGAAGGCATGAAGTTGTGCTTTGAGGTCAATTAACTTAACATTAAAATTACCAGTATGTGATAGTGTGAGGACTAGGAAGCATGCAGTTGTTTTACTCCTGAACGCTGCCCTTCATTTTGTCGGTGCCAGCGAGCAATGTTCGGCCTACAATGCTACGTGTTGCAGGCATCAAATTCAAAAAGAGAGAATATTGCCAACAAAGTTGAGGTCATCATTCTCAATGCATTCTCAAAATGTGTTGGAACCCTGTCTTGCTTATTTGAGGCAGCACAGCATGTCTTACTCACACTCTTGACTGGGTGCCAGTCTGACGCAGGGCTGTTTATCACTATTTATTTGTTTTGGCCATATTTAAAAAAAAAAAAAAAAAAAAAATTTGTCGGTGCCAGCGAGCAATGTTCGGCCTACAATGCTACGTGTTGCAGGCATCAAATTCAAAAAGAGAGAATATTGCCAACAAAGTTGAGGTCATCATTCTCAATGCATTCTCAAAATGTGTTGGAACCCTGTCTTGCTTATTTGAGGCAGCACAGCATGTCTTACTCACACTCTTGACTGGGTGCCAGTCTGACGCAGGGCTGTTTATCACTATTTATTTGTTTTGGCCATATTTAAAAAAA